GTTTGGTGTGGGAAGGTCAGGGCTTGCTGGCCACTTCCAGCCCCAGGAGGGTGACCAGCCAGGTGCCGACTCTCGGACAGCCTGCGTCTCTTAATGGTGAGGCATTCGTGGGAGCCTCGGCGTCAGGGGAGGGCCTGTTTGCCCAGAGGGAGGGTCCGCTCTAAGCAGGCGACTGGCACCTGCCCCTCCGGTGTTAAAGTCCATCTGGGTGAACCAGGCCAGAGACGGGGGAGGAAGGCGGGTGGCCTGTTGACAGCTGCCCTGGCAGGTGTGCCCTGTCATCTGGCACAAAGACAGCCACGGACACCCAGGGGTTGGCACCCTTTCTCACAGAGCCCCCCAGCCCTAAATGCACACACTGAGATGCGCTCTCACCCTTCCCACTGAGAAGGTGGTGGGAGGAGCAGCTGTCAATTACCAGCAGACCTGGACGATTCAGACCAGGGAGGGAAAGTGGCCTGCCTCAGGTCACACTGCAAGTTGGACTTCCACCTGACGTCCAGCCTCCTGGTGCCACTACAGCAACTGAGGCCTTGGGTCAAGCTGGCTGGGCTCCTGTGTGGTGGGGAACCTGGCCACCTTGTCCACACCTCCTGCCATTGGAGGGCCTGTCTCCCCCCCCAAAAAAAAAATACAAACAAACAAACAAACAAACAAAACCCTCTGCCTACACAGAATCAAGAGCTTGTTCAGTTTTCCTTAATTTATCTCCTCCTAAAAGCAGACTGTGAAAGTCCTGCTCCTTGTGTGCATTGGACCAGGTCACCCCCTGCCCAAACCGAAGAGGCACAGGGGGATGCGAGGACTGTAGTAAAGTCCCTGAACCCCTCTGACAGAGGCAGAAATCCCAGCTCTGGAAGTGTGTAAACACAGTTATTTTTAGCCCTGCGAGGGCTGTGGGTGCAGCAGCGTGACCCGAATTTGGCTCAGCCCCGGGTCCTGCCCCTCCCAGGAGAGGAGGCTGGCTTTGCCCCCTGCCCCTCCCCCTCCCCCGCCAGCCTCAGGGCAGGCTCAGTGAGTTCCAGAACCCACTCAGAAAAGGAACTGGGCCCGGGCGGGGCTGGGGGCATCTCATCAAGGGTGCCCAGGGCCCGGAGCTGAGGCTGCGGCCAGCTCATAGGGACAGGATGTGGTTTTCTGTGAGGCGACATTTCGAGTTGCAGGAGAAAAGCTAGAGCCAAAGTTTCCTGATTTTTTTCTCAGCTCCTTCTCTGCTCCTTGTGCCCTCCTGGCCTGGCTGGAGCCCAGGCCTGGGCAGTCCTGGGAAGGAACTCAGGCCCAGGGGGCGGGAGGTCAGCACCACTGCCCCCATGGTGTGCTCCAAGCGCGTGCACACCTCTGGATGTCCCAGAGCCCCTGGTGGGTGAAGCGGACTCCTTTCCAACCTGCTGGGGGGAGGTGGGCGGGGCGCTGAGGAGATCAAGGGCGTGTGCCCCCTGGTTCCTGTGGCCACACTGAGCGCTAATTTTGTAGCAGCCGCTGTTCTGGCCACTGGATGTGAAGCAGGAAGCCAGCCGGAGGATATGCCAATCCTCCCAGGTTAACGTTATTGGGAAGGACAGGGGTGGGAGCACGGTGGAGCAGAATAAGTGCATATATAAGCAATAATCAGCTTGCAGGATGCACCATATAGGAAATCACAGATGGCACGTGTATATTAGCCAGGGACCACCAGCAAGAACTCTTGGAGACACCCAATGCGAGGGCAGGAGGTGGTGAGAGGATAGCAAGTTTGAAGGCCCCGGGGCTGGAACACTCCTGGCATCTGAGGACAGCAGAGAAACCATTGGAGGGGGCCAGGAGCCAAGGGAAAGAAGGCGGTACCTCGTGAAGTGGGTGGGGCCAGACGCACCGGGCGGTCCACGGGGATGGGGCGGGGTGAGAAGTGCGCCAGCCAGCACACAGGGAGGTGTGCCTGGAGGTGACTGAGGCCTTGATTTTGGGGTCTGACACCTGGGTTGCTGGGGGCAAAGGGCAGTTGATGGGAGCAGTGGAGGGCGGAGGAGAACAGGGTTGAGGGGAGGGCAGGCGAGGGGGGATGGCATCCTGCACATACAGATGTTCACCTGCACCAGAACAGGGAGGGGAGTCCAGGGGAGTGGCCGCATGGCTTGCACCAGGTCCCCGGGCTGGCACGGCCCTGCTCCCCAGGCACTCTGCCAGCCTGCCCCCAGGCCGTGTGGGCTGTGCTCCCTCAGGGCCTGGCCTGGGGTTTGTCCCAGTTCACCACGGATGAGGGCCTTGTGTGCCCTGGTGTGGAGGCAGTCCTGGTGGGGGAGCAGGGCTGCAGCCTTGGTGCAGAGGGGTCAAAGGCTTGGCCACAGAGCCTGGAGCAGTGTCTGCTGTCAGCTGGACATGAGCCCTGGGTGTCACTCCCCAGCCTCGTTCTCAGCAGGGTTGACCTCTTATGGTGAAGTACTAGCTGTCCCTCGTGTGCATGGACTCGGGTTGAAGGCCAGAGGGAGTTGCGACACATTTTGGGATTTTCACAGCAGACTTGGTTTTCTGTATTTGGTACCTACCAGTGCATTGTGACCCTGAATATGTCCTCACCCCTCTCAGGGCCTTGGGATTTTTATCTAAGGCCCCAGGATAGAATGGAAGGTCTTCGGGGTTCCCATATAATACACTGCATTTTGGTTATGGAACTTTGGCATTGAGATGGTCGTGGATTTTAGTGTGAGCTACAGAGGTGCCTTGCAGGGCCCTTGGAACAGGTGAATGTGGCATAGAAGACACGTCAAGGACCGTCAACAGAGTGAAGTGGGATGGCCAAGCCCTTGTGCCCTCTGGGAATTTCCTTGACTTGACCAAGTCTTACTTGTGCCATCTGCAGATCAGGGGTAAATACACGTGCTGCGCAGCCAGCCCAGCGCCTGGCCGTAGAATGCCTTCGATTTCTGGTGGCCCCTTCTCTCCCTGTCCGTCTTCATTTTGCAGCTGGAATCCAAATCTTAGGGGAGAGTTCTGCCGCTGTCGGGGCTTCCTGTGGGAGCCACAGTCCCGGGCCTGGGAACCCTTCCAAACCTAACTTGGAGGCCGTGAACCTCACCATGGCCTTGGGGACTGGCCCGCTGGTTGTGGCTCTGAGTATGGGCCGTAGGTATTGCTCGCAGGGGCATGTTGGGGTGTTAACCAGAGGCACTGCTGAGCTCTGAAGTCCTGCCAGCACCATGTCTTATTTCTCAAAGAAACGACAGGCTCCCACTTCCTATCAGCACTGATGTGGTTGCTGTTGTGTTGTTGTGGTGTGTGTGTGTGTGTGTGTGTGTGTGTGTGTGTGTGTGTGTGAACTGCCATGGGTTTTAGAGCTGTGGTGGAAAGTGAGGAAAATAGCAGATGCTGGATCCAATTGCCACCAAACTGTCTTGAAATGCTATAAATATTTTCTAAAAGATGAGCTTCCCGTGCCTGATGTGTTAGTTATCTCTTCCCCGAGAAGCTGATTTCTGAAAATTAAGACAAATAACCTCTTAAATCACAGTTGTTAACCTCAGGTGTAAAAAACTGTTACCCTGCCAGCCGCAGGTCAGGGTGACTCTGCTCCAAGTGACTCCGTGTGACACAGACACGGCAGCGCCAACAGAGAGCACCAGACCTTGTGTTCAGTCAGAAGGCCCCCGTCGTCAGCCTGGCCCAGCCACTCACCGCTGTGTGACCGGGGGCCAGTGGGCCAGCTTCTGTGAGCCTCTGTCACCTGTCTCCCACAGAGCTGTCACCTGCCGCCCCCTGGAGCCGGTACGCGTCCCTGAGCCTGCCTGGGAGGTACAGAGAGGTGATTGTCCGTGGTTGACACATGTTGATCAGGACTGAAACCCCCTCTGTCCCCAGGCCCCTCATGCCTCTGCCTGTGTCCAGGACAGCCTCCTGGGATGCAGACCTTCGCCAACATCCCTTTCAACACAGGGCCGAGCTGGTCGGGGGACCAGAGCCCCTGGCAGGCGGGTAACGGCCCAATGGTGTGTGTTCATCCTCCCTGCATTTGCTTTTATGTTGAACCTGTATCTGTTAATTTTGTACTGAAGGTAACTCCAGAAAGTTTTTTTTTTTTTTAAATAAATGTATTTCAGCAAAAGTTGTGAGTCGATTTCAAGAAAAATACTGAGCTCCTGGCAATCTGCAGGGCGGGAGGAAATTGACGAAACCAAGGAAGCCAAGCCCTGCAGACTGTCCTGCGTGTGGTTTCCATCCTCCGCACAGGGGACGGGGAGGGGGTGACTGTGTCCCACACAGAGGAGCTGCAGAAATCCCTGTGTTGGGTCCAGGCTGAGGGAAAGTGTCTCCTGGGGGGGGGGGAGGTGGCCCAGATCCCAGGAGGCTCTGCAGCCCAGCCAGCGCCCACCGTGCAGCCCTCTCTGCTCTGAGGTTCTCAAACCTCATGGCAGGTTCCCCGTGCATCATGGGGATGCCCACTGCATCGTGGGCCCCAGAGGGATGGCACATAGCCCTGAAGCTCAGAAAGCCCATGTGCCTCCCACACGCCCTCCCCAGTACAGCTGACCCAGGGCTGGACACAGCGTAGGCGACCAGGACTTAAGAACGTGACGGAGCAGCCAGGGGAAGAGGCCACAGGACAACCATTAGCAGGGGGTGGGGGAGATCCTCGGGCTCTGTGCACACCTACTGCTCCCTCACCCTCAGCCTCTTTGGGTAGCTGAGTGCCCCCAGATTTTCTAAGACGGTCCTGCTGCCTGATCCTTCATTTCTTGTCTTGCTCTGGGTGGACATCCTGTCTGCCCTCTGAATAGCCATCAGCACAGAGCACTTTCTTCATGGTCAGGGTGACCACTCAACCACCGCCTTCTTGTCTGGCTAGTGGATGGGCAGCCCAACTTGCCCCCATCTTACAGATGAGGATCTAGAGGCCCAGGGTTGGCAAGTGACTTATTTGAGGTCACACAGCGAATTAATGCAGATACCTGGGCTGAACCCATGGGCACCCGTCTCCTGGCCACTTCACCTTCCATTCACAAAGATAACTCAAAACATGTTACGCATTCTGGTATTTAAATCTCACTTATGAGTTTACTTATTCATTCACTTGGAGTTTTTGTAGCCTCGTGGATGAGACTTCAGAAGCCAAATGGTCACGTGACTTCTGGCCACTTTTAATCTCTGTGTCTCTGCGTCTTCATTAATAAACGGGCATAAATACCACGTGAGTCCATAGTAGGGATGCTGAGGCTCACAGTGCCTGGGTCAGGAAGGGGGTCTTCTCTCTTCATTGGGTGGGCTGTACCAGGTGAGGGTGGTCAGGAGCAGTTCCCAGTGTAGAAGGGCAGGGGTGTGCACTCAGAGAAAGAGAAGGAGCGCTCCATGGGCAGGCGAGGGCAGAGGTACCAGGCCCCATGGGGGAAGGGAGAGGCAGTCAGGAGGCTGGTTAGAGCAGGGCTTCTCTGGGGGGACAGAGAGGACACCAGGCAGAGATGCCACATGGTGTAGTCCCAGATCATCACAGGGGCTGCCTCGGCCCCGACACATTGCATCACGCACAGCTCCTCTGGGCAGAGGACTACGCCATGCCACCCCTGGCCGCTGAGGCTCTGGGCTGCACTGGATGGGGTGGAGGTGAGCTGGGGAGCAGAGGGAGGCCAGGTTGGCTTATCCCGGGGTCAGGCACAGAGAGTCCTGTCAACTGTTCCTCCTTCGAGGAGCCAGCTCCCCACTGTCTGTCTGTCCAGCTGCCCGCTGGGTTCTCCTCCCCACATCTGTGTGCTCAGTGTAAACAGCTCTCCCCTCCAGGAATCACCCCTGCCCTCGGGCTAGTGCTGACACCCTTTGGCCCAGAGACCCGTTGATTCTGCTGCTGGGGCCCAGCGCCCAGTTTTAATCTCCCCACTCCTCCGTGAGACCCAGATGGTTGTATTATTAATAGTCATAATTAACCAGCATCACAGAGGGTCTTTTTCCTGGACTGCAAATCCCCAGGACAAGAGCCCCAGGAGGCCCTGTTCCCATCCCCACTTAACAGACAGCGTAGACAAGGCCAGGTGCAGGGAGGTGACTTCCTCGCACTGGAGCTCAGTGACTGAGTCCAGTGAGGAACCACAGTATTCCTGTCCAGAAACAGACAGTCCATTCCCTAGGGTCCTGCACACTGGTTTCTGGGGGAGGGGGACTATACTCAGGGGTCTCAGATGAGTGTGGAAGAAGGAGGTTAGAACAGGGGAGAAGAAGAACTTAGTGAGCTAGCAAGATGAGGGTCTGGCAGGGGGTCAGGGTGGGAGGTGCCCTGGGCAGAAGGAATGCCAAATACCAATATCCTTCCTCCCCACCACGCAGATGGTGGGCCAGGGCCTGGTGACGGCAGCTTCTCCTAAGTGCCACGTCTCAGGAATGGTGATTTAAACGCTTGCGGCAGGCTGCTTCCTGATTTATGGGGCCATTGTGGACAGGCCTGACTACACCAGCATGGCGGCCGCGCAGGGCTCCTCATATGGATCTGCAGATGGCCAGCAGCCTCCTGCCTCCCTCCACATCTCCTGGGCCCAGCCCCCACCAGGACTCCTTGTGTGCGTGTGTATGCGAGTGCCCAGGGGCCCACGCCTGAGTGGACTGCACAGGTCAACCATCCACAAGCACAAGAGGATGTTCACATCCTGCTGAGTGGCCCATAGACTGCGTCAGCTCTGCATGCGGGTGTGTGCTGCTCTAGAGCAGATGGACACAGGTGTGCCGGGTACACACACATGTGCCTGCCAGCGCTCTATGGGCTCATGGCCTCTGAGAAGTCTCTGTCTGTGTTCATCTGCTTCTGGATCTGTGGGCTGGGCATCTGCTTACTGCTGTGTGGGAGCATGGGTGTGTCTGTCGGGTGCAGTGGGCATGTACCTGTGGGGGGGGCAAGCATGCAGCCCCCACCTCCTCCTGTTTCTATGGGTGCCTTCCAGCCAACAGCCTTTTGTGCGTGTGCACATGGAGTTCATGCATGTGCCTAAACAAGCAGGCAGGCGTGTGTGCACCATCACAGGCGTCACTCACACACACATGCCCAGTGTCTAGTGTGGCCCAGAGGCCCTGGCCTGCTCACAAGCTCACTGTGAAGGCTCTCTGCTGTCAGAAAGGGAGAGGAGTCCTGCAGGAGGCGGGGAGATGGCCTCGTCTGTCCTCCGAGCACCTCTGCCTCATTTCCATACAGATGCTGGAGGAGAGGGAGGGACCTGCAGCTGCCTCCAGGTCTCCTGGCCACCCCCATGTCTGTCCATCATGTCCTCGAGGCCAGGCCCTGGGTCCCACCCTGGGTCACATGAGAAACGTGGTCCAAAGGCAGGCTGATCAGTGCACAAGCCCAGGCTCTGTCCCTAGTGTGTGGCACCAGGCCATCCCTTGTGAACCCTCATTCCTCATTTTCCCATCTGCAAAATGGTTTTAGCAATGGCCACCCATGGGGTCATGGTGGGGACTTAAGCAGGGCATAAACTCCTGGGTAGGTCACCAGGCCTCAGTTTCCCTTTTTGTAAGGGGGAACTAATGACCCTCACTGGCCAGCTCCTAGGACTGGTTTGAGAATCGGTCAGTCCCAGGGGCAGGGTGTGCTCACAGTACTTATTCCGGCTCTGAGCATGGGAGACCAGGGCGCCGGGCACGCGTGTGGGCGACATGTAGCCCTGGGTCAGACATCCATGTCTGAATCCCCATGCGCCCACACACTCCCCTGGGACTGGGTAGACCACCTCATCTTCCTCTCCGTCGGAATCTCTGTAGGCCTGGGGTTCCTCTTCTTTCAAGCAGATGCGTTAATGGTAGTCTCCCTCATGTTGCAAAGGGAGGAAGGATCTAGGAGAAAGGCATAGCAATGGTGCTTCTTACCGCCATGTGAGGGGCCACTAAGTCTGGTCCGGTGAGCACGTGGAGAATGGTGTGCCTTCAGAGCAGGATGCCTGCTGCTGAGGTATCCTCTGTGCTTCTAGATGTCCAGCAGTCCCACTGGAGAAGAATCCAAGCCCTTCCTCAGGGAGCGCAAGGGGCTGCCGTACAGCCAGCAGCCCCAGCTGCAGCATGGTACCTGGGGAAGGAGGTGGTTGGTTCTGATCTCTGCTGACTACTGAGAAACCAGTGTTTGGCACCACCCAGTCCTGCTACGGGGTGGGCGGGGGGAGCTGCGGTCCGGTTACTTGCCTCCTTCAGACCACAGAGGCCCTGAAAGGAGGCCCAGGAGGAAGCATGATGACCCACTGGAGCCAGGTGTGGGCTGGAGACCCCCCTAGCAGCCCCGTAGGTGCTGGCCCAGAAGGAGCCCATGAGTGAGCCCATATGGTGTGACCTCCCAGCCTGTGCCCACCCCGGCCAGCTGCCAAGATCCAGAAGAGGATGCAGAGGCCCTATCCTGGCAGGGGCTTCAACAGAGAAATGAGGCTCTGGCACCCAGGCCAGGGCAGGCAGAGGGCAGCATGCGGACATGGCCAGGGCTGCAAGAGCTCAGAGGTCATGGGGCCAAGGTGGGCCCAGGTGCAGGGGCAAGAGCGGAGGCAGGCTGGGCCAGAGCCAGACCTTGAAGGACAAAGAGCTGAGCTCACTGGAAGGGACAGCATTCCAGAAGGACACGAGTGTGTGGGCACAGTTTGGAGTCCTTCCCGGGGAAAGGCGGACCTCTCCCATAAGACATCTGGGCAGCTCTGGCTCGGATGGCTCCGGCTCTCGATGACCAGTGGCTGTGGGGTGAAGCAGATGGCCAGCAGGGGCGGAGGGGGGGTGACCTCAGGCCTGAGCCAAGGGAGGCCAAGTGGCCCACACAGGCCAGAGCCTGAGACCTTGGCACCAGCTACTCAGAGCTCTCGACTCAAAAGTTAATGATTCATTTGTGGCCAATTTCTGCTGGCGTTTGCCTGGAAATTCCCAAGCCTGCTCCTTCCCTCGGCTCCGGAGCTCTAAGAATACAGTCTCATCTACACTTGGCTGAAAATATCGCACCCAGTATCCAGGGAATGGTTTTCAAAATTACAGCAGGAGCTATGCAGGTTAGCTATTAGGATGAACTGTTTCTGGGTAGCTAGCTGAAACCTGGGGTGGTCAGTCTGTATGCAGTCAAGTTTAAGGCTCACTCTGACCCTGTGTGCCATGTGTCGATGAGAGGAATCCTATTTATCTTCATGATGTCCCCATTTAGTTCAGAACAGATGTGACCAGAATTCAGTCTAGTGCACAACAGTTACAAAGGGCAAACTGGAGCTTGACCCAGAGCAGGACTTTGCTGGATAGAGAAATCCCTGGTATATGCAAAGGCCCTGGGCCATGGAAGTCCAGGGAAGGTTGATTGTGGAATGTCTGGGGTATGGAGGGTGTGAGAGACTTCTAGGACTGAACATAGCTCATGAGTGAAGGACTTGGATGGCTTGGGAATTTGGCAGTGGGACATGCCGGTGACGGGGAGTCAGGGCTGGTCCCTGAGCAGGGACAGCTGTATTTGTATTTACTCATTTGGGTCTTGATTCTGCTGGTCAGCAAGCCTTTCTGGGCAGGCTACTCTTTGCTAGCTTGGGTCCAAGCTGTGCCCAGGGCCCTGCACCTGTGTGGAAATCTGAGTTAGAGAGAAGAGGTCATATGTAGCAATCCAAATAAGGGCCACAAGGACCCAAGGGAGCCACAAGGTATGGGTGTGAACTCTGGTCTACGGGAAGCAGGCTGATGGCATCACCCAAAGTCCTCCAGTGGGTGCAGCAGAGGTGCTGGGTTCAGCTTCAGGCTCTCTGTGTTCCTGGCAGGCTCTGGGGACAGACAGCTTGGAGGTTACCTCTGTCCCACCAGACCCACCAGGCCTTATTGAATCGGAATGTGTGTCTGTCATTGTGCAGATGAGCAGAATGAGTCCCAGAGACGGGAGGGCTGGTGGCCGAGGGAGGCAGAGCTCAGGGTCCTGGCTCCTGATTCCGGCTCACGGCTGCCCCGTCCCACTCAGCCGCCCATTTCTGCAGCTCTGGGTGCATCCTCCCAGAACCAGCCAACGGAGCAGCCCCATCCTTGGGGATGAAGCATCTGGGAGTCTGGGGAGGGGGTTCCTTTGTGTCGTTCACAACTTTGCAGATTTAATTTCCTTGAGGATGCCTTGACAGTGCCCGGCGTTGGTGGTAAACAACTGCTCTCCCCAGAATGTTTGCCTGTGACAGCAGCTTTCCCTGGCGAGGGTGCTACCCGCGCTTGGCAGGGCCTCTTGGGCTCCAGCTCCCAGCTCGGGCTCCAGGCGAGTGAGGGCTTCTGCAAGGCTTTCAAGAATGCAGAAGCCGCCGTGGGGTGGGGGCCTCTGCGCTCCCTGCTGCTGCGGTGGCCTCAGAGCCTCAGATGGCCCCTGGTTGGGGATGGTCCCTGGGTGGTGAGGTAGGGCAGGATCAGGTGTCCTCTGGCTCCCGTAGCCCTGGTGCCCAAGTCCTTGGCCCGGCTCAGGAGGAGGAGGGAGCCTGTCTCCCTAGCGCAGCTCTGCCAGGCCTGTCTGTGGCCGAGAGCAGGGGTGCCTTGGCCCCGTAGCCTCCGTGGCCTGCGTCACACTGGCTTAGGTGTCCTGAATTAGAGCCAGGAAATGGATCTGCCATGTGGGGGGCGGGGGGGGGGCTGCTGCCCCAGGAGCTGGGGTGAACCCTGACCCTGCCTGTCCACACCTAGGTGGTGCTGGCCTCACACATCCTTCCCCTGGCCTGGATTTGACCATTGCCTAAAGGACACACTGAGGTCACAACCTGCTCTGTGTTGCACCCTCTGGGCCCGGCCTCCCATCCCACTTGGTCACTAGCGGCCATTCAAGTACGCTGTTGACAGGAGAGGATCGGGACCCACGCACAGCTGTGCCCGTTCATGCTGCTCGGCCCCAGCCCGGCTCTTTCCCGTAGAATGCCTTTCCCCATTTATCCTCTGGACACTTCTCCCTGTCCAACCCAAGAATTCACCCAAGAATTACTCCTCGGGTGAAGTCTTCCTTAGCAACCAACCACTCCTCCCGTTGAAATTGTCCCCTTTTCTCAGAGCCACCTCTCCATGGACCTCTATTAATGACACTGTCACAATGTAGTATAATCACATTTTCTTGCAAAGCACTCCCCCATTAGCCCGTGAAGGCCTGGAGGCTTGTTTATCTGTGCATCCTGCAGGCCTGATATATAGTAGGTGCCTAATAAAAGCAGGCTGGATTTAATTAAGGTAGTTCCTGAAGGCGGTGTTGGAGTCTCCTTTCCTTAATGGGAAGAGGGAAGGTGGGAAGGTGGGAGTGTGCTCGTGGAGAGCTTGACCTGCCCCTGTTCCCTGCCTCTGACCCCTGGGGAACACAATTGCTGGGGGTTAGGGGGGCCCCCACCCCACTTCCACCCCACCACCGCCTTCCCTGCCAGCAGGAGCCGGCTCCCCGGGCTGCCCAAGTGATCACTCTCCAGAAAACACCCCAGTGGAAACTGCATGAATGATTGATAAGATCTGAGAGCTGTTTAATTTTTTCCCCCTGTTTAATGGCTATCAATAATTTAATACGCTCTCTGTATGTTTTTAAGAAATAGCACCCATTTTGCCGTCTCCGGTTTAGCTGGCTAAATGATTTAAGTGTTGGAAATGTGCTCAGAGGATGGAGGTGGAGGGAGTTGGAGAATCTGGAGGCTGCTGGGGTTGGGAAGGGGGGATGGAGGAGGCGGGCTCAGAGTCAGCCACAGCATCTTGGCCTGGGCGAGTGCGTGTGTGTGTGTGTGTGTGTGTGTGTGTGTGTGTGTGTGTGTGTAGGTGGGAGGGAGGGGGAGGGAGGGAAGGGGCGGGTAAAAGCCAGCGCCTCTCTGCTAAGAGCAAGATAATTGCTTTTCCGGGGCCTCACTGAACAGCAACTGAACAGCTGTCGCCACCGCCCCCCCCCCACCATGCTGAGCTTTTCTGGATGGCTCTGGGGGCTCAGGGGGGCTAGCAAGGAGCTGGGCTGATTTCACCATGGGCTGAGAATCCCCCTTCCCTTGACTTCTTTGCCCCCCTCCTAAAGCTTTGAAATCATTTGTATTTTAATGATGCGGCCGCCCAGCTGGCCAGAGTCTTCCAGATGGGGTTTGGGTGGCGTGGAGGGGGAGACTCAGAATCACTCATCTCTGGGCCCACAGGGACCTAGAAGGTCATTCGCCAGTGCTCCCCCAAACTTCCCAGACGCAGGGGATCACCTGGGAGGACTTGTTAACAATTTAAATTTCTGGGCTCTCTTCCAGGCCCACAGGCTTTCATCCTCAGGGGAGTGGCCCGGCAGGCTGTGGGTTTACCAATCAGCCGGGGCGATTCTTATCATCGGGGGAGTCCAGCTCCCTCCTAACGCCCACAGCACCCAGAGTGCCACGTGGCCACTCCCTCTGGGCACTGGGCGCGCAACCCCGCACCCTGTGAGACCCTAGATGCTCCATTCTGGAGCTCTTCCTGATGCTAGGCTGTGACCTAGCCAGCTCCCTGTGCACCTGCTGTCACCTCTGCTTCAAAACAGCCACTCTCGAGGGACCTGGTGTCCTTCCCTCACCCAGCCTGGCCACTCTGTGCCTGGGCTGGGCTTCTGTTGAGCAGGGAGCTTTCTTTCTTAGTAAAGACAGGGGACTGGGGACAGGGGGCTGTGGCCTCTGTGGAGTGGATTGGCGTGGCTGTGACAGCCTGCTGCTGACCACGAGCCTCTCAACCCAGTGGGGACCCTGAGGAAGGCAGAAAGCACTGGGTCTCCGAACCCCGTTGGCCTGTCAGAGCTCAGTGTCCCCACCGTCTTCTTCGGAGATGACGGTTAGGGGAGCCAGGTTGGAGGAGTCCCACCTCCACCTAGGCCAGAGCTGGACCTGCGAAGAGCGGGCAAGAGGCCTAAAGAGTCCAAGCTGAGGCCCTGGCATTGGGGGTCAGCTGAGACCCTGTCCCAGTCACCCAGGTGAGGCTGTGCAGGGGGGGTGGGAGAGGATTCCTGAATCAGTATATGGAAGGATTTCGGTGGACCCCGTGTCTGGGTCTAGCCTGACTTCTTTTCGGGAAGTTTGCATTATTTGTCACAGAGTGGAGCATTGCATGATGACCCATCCATTTTGCCATCTTATTTTAATAGATAATTCCGGGGGGGGGGTAGTGTCCTCTACAAATTGGAGAGCCCCGTGTCCACCTGTAGACCTTCTTTTTACGTGAAGTTCAGCCTCACCTTGGTCTCTGTAGGAGGAGTTGGCCAGGGAACACCGGCTTGGTGCTGATAGGTGACTCAACTTGTGATCGCCAGTCCCCTGTGTCCCTGGAGCCTGCTGTGATCACCACAGCCTGGTTGTGGGGTCTTGAACCTGGGGAAGAAGAGGCCAGGTGCTGCCTAACCCTGACACAGCGTCTGCTTGGAGACCTCCAAGAGGTGGGGAGACAGAAGTAAAAGCTGTAAACCTAGTAGAAGATGGGCCTGGTCACAGAGGATGCTGCGGGCACAGGGGCAGATAAAGTGGGGAGGTAGTCAGGGAAGGCTTCCCAGAGGAGGCACTGCCTGGCTTAGGCTTGTAGGCTGGTGGGGAAGGGAAACGAGAGATGTGAGGGAGCGAGGTTGGGCAGAGAGGAGAAAAGTGAGGCCGACAGGACTGGGGATGGGTGGAGAGGCAAGGCAGAGCGGCACCTGCCACGCCTGGGAGGAGAGCCTCGGAATTTGTTTTGGTTTTAGCTACTATTGAAAAACATCCATGTTGTTATCTGTGTGGAAAAGATCCTATCCTACATGTAGAGCACCACAAATCGTCTGAAAGTGACCATCCTTTGTGTAACCCTCATGCTGTCGAGAAATAGAACATTCCAGACCTATGCTGACTTGCAACAGCCCACTGCCAATTATCCACGGCTGCCCAGCAACGCCCCAAACCGAGTGGCCTGAAACAGCCCCTTATCCAATCTCACAATTCCCTGTCTGCCTCGGGCTCCTGTGGCTGTGGTCTCCAGTGGAGTGGAGGGTCGAATGGCCCCAGTCACACCTGGCGGTTGGTGCTGGCTGCTCCCTGGGCCTCAGTTCCCCTCGGTCCTCCAGGAGAGCTAAGTGGTTCCTTTCTGTGGCCTGTCTGTTCCATCAAGGTCAGAAACGGCAGGACCTCTTGTGGCCCAGTCTCCGTATGTCACACCATGTCACTTTTGCCGGATCCTAACTGTCAAAACAAGTCCCAAGGCCAACTGAGATCCTGGGGCAGAGAGCCGACTCCGCCTCTTGATAGGAGGAGCCACGAAGTTGCCCTGGCTGGACTTAGTCGGCTTGAGTCATCTTGCCTGTTCTTGACCTTGGTGTCAGTGGAGCTCAGGAGCGTGTGCTCTCCTGCCTCTGGCCTTTTAAACCCATGTCGTGTTTGCGAATTCCCTGCGTGCTGCTGGATGCGGCCGCGGACCCCTCCTTCTCAGGGCTGTGGGGTAACGCGTGGTGTGGGTTCATCAGTGTATCCACCTGTGGTTGGGGCTGCTGGGGAGTCCTCGGGCTGTTCTGTGCGGCGCTGGCTGGGAACCCTCTAGGTGCGTCTTTGGTGAACGAGTGCGTGGCTTCTGTGGAAATGGGGTCTCCGGGTGGTGAGATGGGCAACCGGGTAGGAGGCACTTCCACAGTTTCCCAAGGTGGCAGGACTAGTGTAGACCCCGCAGCAGTGTTTGGGGGCTCAGGAGGGGTTTTAGAAAGATTCCCAGCTCAAGATGCCTCTGACCCTGTGCAGCTGCAGAGACACTAGAAGGGGCTTCTTGTGATGTCCCCTCTGACCACCCCAAACCTCAGGCCTCCAGGCTGGGGGACGTGGGGCCATCAGGTGGGCCTTTTTCTGCGGCACTTTTCCAACTCCTGGTCCTCTCGTTGCCTTGTCTCTGTTACCTAGAAGTCGCCTTTCACGTCTGGCCTGACCATCCACAGTCAGGAACCCCCATGTCTGCAGACATAGGATCTGGGGAGACGGACCCTGACAGCTGCTGGCGGTGGGCCAGGCCGGGAGCAGGTCCTTCTTCTGGCCTCATCTGTGTGTGACACGGGACCATGGGAGGAGCCGTTCCTCTATCTTGGCCTCAGTTTCCTCACTTACAAAACGACAAAGCAAAGTATCGGCTTCACCAAGTGTCTGTCCTCTCGCCAAACTGACCCGTTCCCTGGGCTCTGACAGCGAGAAGGATGGGGGATGCTTTGGAGGCCTCGGGGGGCTTCCTGATGTCAGGCACATGGCTGGCCCACCCTGTTCAGTTCACCTTCCTCCCACCACTTGCCGTCCACCCTCACCAAGCGGCTCTGGTTCTCACTAACTAGACCTCATTCCTGATGTCCAGGGGCTCCGTCCTAAGAGGGGAACGAGCTTGCAGAAGCTGGAGGAGACAGGCCCAGCCAGGCCCAAAGCTGGCCTGGGGGTGAGCAGAGAAAGCAGGGCAGGTCCGAGGGGACCTGCAGAAGCATCTGGGCAGGCTCTCAAAGGCCAGTGGGGCTTCGAAGGACTCAGAAGTGTGCCCCTGGCACGCCAGAGGTGGGCTCAGGAGGCTGTGCTGTGCTAACGGCTGCTGCTGTCACGCAGGGCAGTGCCACTGGGGCTGGGTCAGGGCATTGAATGTGAAGTTTGGGAGGGGGTGGGCCAGCTTGGTCTACCAGGAGATGGCCAGAGGGACCAGGCACATGGGATCTAGAGGTCGGTAAGGGACTGAGGGG